GCCGCGGCGGCTAGCGACCCGCTTTTTGTCGTATTTTCATAATAAAGTATTAAAGAAGACATTTTCAAAAACGATTGCTATTCCTAACTAATGTGTATCGTATTTATTACAATTACATGTATCCATTATGCATTATATGTGCAGTGAATGGTATTCTAATGTATAACAGACGACAGCACGAAAGGCTAAACTTATGGCCGCTGTTATAGCGAATATACAGTGTGAGTCACGTTAAAGTGTACATATGAAAATAGATGAAACTAGACCTATTTTTATCGACAAAAAAGAGGTCAAAAAATTTTTGAGATTTTTTTTAATTTTTTCATAGAATTTTTTTTCTTTCAATTACTTATTGTAAAGAAAACGTAATAACTTTTAAACTAAGCGGAATATCCTGATAAAATAAAAACAGTAATAATGCTAAATAACAGGCGATACTAAAAAAATACATAAAACAAACAAAAAAAGCCAACAAATAATAAAAAATGATACTTTTTGAAAAAAATCTGCTTTTAAATTCGTGTTTTTTTTTGTTATTTGTTAAATTTCTCCAAAAAATGTCCCTATAACCGGTGGTTTTTATTACTTTGTATTATTCTCTATCGTATTACCTTCGTAAAACCAAAAATCGCATGTCTCTATCCGTATCACAACGTTTGCAATGATCGTTTGAACTAAGCCTCTCCGGGCGCGCCATTCAACGTTTCGTTAACAACGAAACTGAAAATGGCTCTAGATTTGTAATTTTGATAAAGACACGTTAGATTTCAAATAAAAACAAAAGATTTCGAAGTAAAATAAGCATTTTAGTTAAAATTAAAATTGTCTCTACCTGTAGCGGAGAATAATGTTATGGCAGGCCTTTGTTCAAACGATCATAGCAAATGTTGTGATAGGGATAGAGACATGCTATTTTTGGTTTTACAAAGATAATACAATAGAAAATAATAAAAAGTAATAAAAACCACCGGTTATAGGGGCATTTTTTGGAGAAATTTATCAAATAACCAAAAAAACACGAATTTAAAAGCAGATTTTTTTCAAAAAGTATCATTTTTTATTATTTGTTGGCCTTTTTTGTGTATTTCATGTATTTTTTTAGTATCGCCTGTTATTTATCATTATTACTGTTTTTATTTTATCAAGATATACCGCTTAGTTTAAAAGTTATTACGTTTTCTTTACAATAAGTAATTGGGAGAAAAAAAAATCTATAATAAATTAAAAAAAAATCTCAAAAAATTTTTGACCTCTTTTTTGTCGATAAAAATAGGTCTAGTTTCATCTATTTTCATATGTACACTTTAACGTGACTCACACTGTATTATCAAATGTATAGATTGGTGTGCTTTCGACTATATTTCAAAACTACGCCTCCATTTGTTCTTATTATATGTTACTTTTAAATCTAAATTAGTTATTATTTATTTAGATAAAAGAACCTGATGTAATCAGAGTTCAAATAAATACTAGTAAATAATTCTGTTTTGTATATATTTGTAAATGTGTCGATTTTTGTAGGTTAATTAATGTAAATATTGTATTGTTTATTTATGGTTTGCTATTATTAAAGTTTGATCGGTAAATGGTGTTTTATTGTACCTACCTGTCCCTGTATTTCCTAACAATTAATAACTATTATAAACATTGACTCGCTAATGTGGATTTGCTATGCGATTTGGGTTGTGTGGTTACATTAGAATTATAATAATAGCGAAAGTGATTAATTATGACTTAACTTTTTAGCCATTAAACTGATTTAGATAAAATTCTATTAGAGATAGTTTGAGACCCATGGTAAATCTTAATATAAATCAGGATACGCTTGTAATTAAGTTTTTCTGTAAAATTGCCGAAATCCATGCGAAAAATGCCTAGTCACATTTCACAAATTCAAGCTCCTTGCAGTCGCGCTTAAAGTGGCCATGACCATAACAATTCACGTACTGCTGCTATTGCTAATCTCATTATAAAATTAATGTAATTTATTATTATTAAAGTAATAACATGCATTGTGTATTAAAGTACCTGTACATTTAATGACATATAAACAGGTTTTTGTTGAGTGGTACGAAAGTGACAATAACATATGCCCTCTCCATTGGGTATACTCTTTCTATGTCTCTCACATTGCCATCTATCGGCGAGTAGCCTAAGTTATAGATAAAGGTCGTCGCACATTTATCAACCTGAGCCCCGATTACGCTAATTTTTAACGTCTCCAATACAAGCGCTTCTTCGATTCTGCGATACGATTGGTCAAAACAGTTGACGTCAGCTGTTTTGACCAATCGTATCGCAGAATCGGGGCTCTGGAAAGGGATCAACACCACTTTCACCGCGCGGTCAACGAGACGTCCACCCTACGTAAGCACATACGTACGTAAACGGATCAGCGTCAATTCGGCACTCGGCTACGGGTAGACGATTAACTCGATATCGGTAGGCTTAACATTTTCAGCCACAACGCGACTGGACGGCGAACAAAAATCAGCTATTTGACAAATCCATATCGCAGTGTCGTTTTTACAGCTAGTTCTAACGAAATTGTAACGCAAACGAAGCGCAACTGCGTCTTTGTGTAAAAGCTGACAGAGATCTTTTCTCAAACGTAAGTCAAACGCTTTACGATCATTTGCTGTATTTTAGTTTCAAAAATACGGTGCTTGGATCATACTGCGATACCGAATTGCGCATCAGCTGGAAATGCTGGAATGAAAATGGAGCGCGACTAAAAATGAAGCGCGAATGAATTGGAGACATTGCAAATTAGCGCAATCGGGGCCCTGATTAACCGCGAAGCAAGGCGTTTATATGGTTTATATAATAAACTGACACAAAAATAATAAAAATAAAGAAGCTTTCGCTAGATGGTTGGCTCAAGGGTCAGATTCAAAAGGCGGTGATCCTCAGCATGGCACGCATTGTCCGGAGGTTCCTCAGCCTGTGACCCTGACCACCGGTAGCTTGGGCCCTGCTCCGCTGCCAGCGGGTTAACTATTTTTAAGATTTTTGTTTTTATAATGTATTTTTATTTTTTGATAATTACATTGTAAAAAGAAAAATAAGAATGAAAAATGAATAAAGAATACAAATAACAACTGACCGCCTCGAGTTGATACGGTTACGATTCCTTTTCGGGTTGAAAAGTGTGCTATGACCTTAATTTAGGAAAGCTTTTCTTAATTAGAGATTCTACCCGTCCATAGATGTCGCTGTACTGCATACTAATTATACAGCATGTTCAAAAAACTTGTTTTCGTATTAATTATGTAAACAGTAAATAAAATCGTAAAGGTATAGTTAATAAGTATTTGAGATTAATGAAGACACTGTTATGTTGTTCCAATACTTCCCGTTCATTCTGACAAAAAAAATATGTTTTGACAAGACATGTTTTTCTGCATCGCAAGTAATTATTTTTTTTAAATGGTTATTACCTAAATAATAACTTCAAAAACTCAAATATCTATACATTTTCTAATTTACAATAAAACTACATAATCTTAATGTTTGATGATGAATTTGAATAAAATATAATGGATTGGTAGTACTGTGGTAGTACCTACTCGTTCTCCTCTGACAATATCTTCATATTTTAAATATTAAATGTTTGCATGAAAGCTGAAGAATTTTTAAAAATTTGTAAACAGGGTTTTAAATTCTTTTCGCAATAAATTCCTAGCTATCTTAAATTATTATCTTTAAATCCAATTTAATTTTATCAACCTATAACCTATCTTAAAAAATATTTTAATATGAAATTGTGAATTTTTTAGATATGAAAATATGAGCCGAGCCGACTTCTGTTCGCAAAATTTATAAAATGGCTAAATATTAAAAAATATCAAATCGTTACGAAAAATTCTTCAAGTATTAATATTAAAAATTATAATTGATAATCGTCACAATTTTATTAAATTAATAACAATTAGGTAAATAGGTATATTAATTTAAAAAAATTGGTATTCATTAATTATAAATAACTTATCAGAATATTTTTTTATTATAATGAAAGTTATAATAGGTACTACTTTTTGTATCTTTTAGTGATTATTTTGATTAATTTATATTATTAATTACCTGTGTAATTAAAATAAAATAAAATAAATATCTTTCAAAAATATATTTTCTCAATAACCTATCATTAATGTTTTGTAATTAATACAAAATTCGCAATAATTTGCCACAAAACAAATTTAAAATACTAAAAAACGTAAGAATAAAATTAAATATCATTTAACATGATGCATTGATCATTTCCATTATTTTAAAGATATTTATGTAGACAACCACTTTATGAAAAAAAAAATATTATCATATTTCTATGCCTATCTATCTAATTTGTATCTCATTATGCGCCCTCAAAGGGTAAAATTTGCATAGTGCATACAGTATCTTATGTGATGATGGAGGGTGGGGGCCAGACGAAAGTATTGATTGGAATTCGTTATCATAAAGCTTTAAACTCAATAATATCAGCTTTAAGAGTCAATTTGGATCGTAGATATGAAACATATAACATTATTGCAACTGGATCTCTGATTTGCGGGGGATGATTGATACGTATAATAATTTTGAACGGTCTGTTTTGAAATCACTTTTAGAACTTTTAGAAAACGCATCTTTTGACCTAAAATTATAGACCTAGCCTCTACTCTTTAACTAGATGTCCATTTGGAGGACTCTCTCATTTCCTAGATACAAAATTGGCAGAGTTAGGGGTTGATTATGGAATAAACCCTTCACAGTCAAATCCGCAGGATTGAGCTTGTATAATATCAGTGCAGCCAACATTACCCACGTGAAAGTTCTAGAAGCTTCCATCATGTTTCTCTGCAGCCTAAAAATGAATTCTGCCCTCACAATCATACCAAAACTGTGTGCGATAGAATGAAAATCGATGAACAAGCGGGGTGTTGCGTCTGTAGCGAGGAAAATGGGATGGAAAATCGAGTAAAGGAATACGCCGCTGACCCTTCTAGAACTTTCCACACAGGAAGTTCGTTTTGAGCATGCGCGTATCGACCGACCGAGGGTGCCTGGTTTTGCTGGGCAGTCTGAGCTTTAGTCGTCGCAGCGACCCGACCGAGAACGGTTGGGTCCCTCCAGCCACCTCAAGCAACCCTGGACAGCCCTCTCTCCTTGATCCATCTGAGCCCCTATGGGCCGGGGCGGGTTGCGGTCTGGACGCTGCGACGGCTGACTGGACGAACGCGTTCAAGATGGGCCTATATATGCTGTTGGCAGTCGCCAGCAGTTTCCGGGTCCTAGTCGCTGGTCTTCCAAGTAAGTACTATTACCAGGGCTCACACATGGGGATCTGTTATTTTTTTAATTCAAATTACTAATTCTATTTCTTTTGTTTATAGGACAGGCGAGATTGCGGCCTCCCCACCTGATGCAGTTGGTGTACGGCCTACGGTCAGCGTCTTCGCCAGCCTATCGATTCGGAAAAAAGGTATTTATTTATTTCTCATTATAATTCCTTTGTCCTTTAAATTTTTTATTTTATTTTTACGGACATTTTACTCATCAGAGTATTTTTTCTCTTCGCAGGCTGACAAGACTGCTGCCCTGAAGTACTGGTCCTCGAAGACAACATCTCAGCCTACATCGGCGTCATCAGAACAAGACGAAGCACCATCCGGAGGAGCGGGGAGGCTGTATACGGCGGGACTTTCTACTTCTACTTCATCTTCTCCTATTTAAGCAATATATCATTTACTTAAGTTGAATTATTGTAAATTTCATAAGTTTGTATAGTTTACTCTATTGTCTTACTCTTATGGCGCGGCGACTTGAAAATTCTTCTCTTGAATAATTTTTGTATGGGGCTGACCAGGATTGCGATTTTGAAAGGACTTATTCTTGTATAATTTCTCTATCATATAATTGCTCTTGTATTCTTATTATTGCTCTTGTATAATAATTTAGACTGTCTCTATTCTATATTCTTGTATTCTTTTTGTATCGCTCTTCCTTGAGATGTGTCTAGACTGTAGAGGTTCCGACTTGCTGGATTCGTGTGACTCAATTTTTTGCCGCTATATAATGGCAAAAAGGCGAGTACTCAATAGATAAGAATGTATCCGTAAACTGTAACCGTATTAGGACGCGTTCTATATAATATTCGATGTGAGAGAATTGGTGTTTTGATGTTGTGATCTTTATTTTCTCGTACATTTTCCTGTGTTCCCCTGCTTATTCGTTCCCCTTGTAATCTCGATGTACCCCTAACCCTTCATTCCCTTGCCTTTTCATGTCGTTCGGTGTAAGCTTTTCTCAATATATAATGGAATAATCAATAAATAAATGTATCTCGGTGTGGTAAATTGGTGTTTCATTTCAACCCTTTGAATCACTATTAAAATCAAAATATTAGGAATAAAGAGAGGTAGGCATTTGAAATAAAAACATAGCCAAGAAGGACTTGTTTTATTACCTTTAAATTTAAAAAAATATTAGGAATCTATAGGGAGGTAGGCAATTAAAATAAATAATATAGTTAGCTGAAATGACTTTGTTTTATTGCCCCTTATTCCGAAAATAGTCTATCTACTTAGATTCGAAGATAAAAATGATATAAGAAAAGATTAGAATGAAGCGTTTTCCTGCATCCCTCTCCCTCTGTAGGATTAATTTAGGGGAAGAAACTGTTAGGATAGCTTCTTAGTTAGACCTTAGACAGTTATTTACTATGAAGATTTTGATTTATGAGCTAACTATTGATTGATTTTATATCCAGAAACTACCGAATTTGATTTCTCTAGAATGAAAAACACTTGCTTAAGTCCGAGTACCCGCTTATCATGTAGCTTGATGTGCAAATATGTATAAGCCACTAGCCTTTGGCGTGCTATTGAGCCGCGCAAAACTGCACCCCCAACTGGCCCAACTGCTACGGTTTTCAAATGATGTTTCAAAATGACCAAAGTAGTCTTGTCTTAGATCTGAGACAAAGCAGTTGACAGGGGTTGCACAGATATGAGACAAAGCATAGGAGAGGCTAGTTTTGGATACTGTACCCGTAGCACGAATAATTAATCTTTCTCGTTTTGGTATGGCTATTCACTATAACTATGTTGGCGGCGTGCTCAGATGCCGCGAAGATCGGCTACGTAAGCCATCTTCGGGCACACCAGCGCCGCCAAGACAGCAAGGAGTCGGAGTGGTCGCCATAGCCGAAAATGCCGAAATCGGTCGAATGGATCATCATCATCATCAGTTTTTTTGTATGAAAAACAATAGGTACAGCAGCACTACGGTTGTATGGAAAACAAGACATCAAGCTGAACACAGTAGCTTCTCCATAATTATCTCGTTGTCATAAGCTACTAGCAGACTACTTCTTACGCGTGGACCCCGTTTTATCCCTTTAGAGGTGGAGTTTCGTGAAATTATTATAGCCACGATAGCCGAACGGTGAAGGAGTCGGAGTGGCCGACTCGAGATCCGAGGAACGCAGGTTCGAATCCCACCGCCGCTCGACTATTGTGGTGAGCCCACTCGTAACACAAGCTTATTTAGCTTACCACGAGGGGACGGCGGGACTATCAGTAATTTGTGCAATACAAATTGCTAATAATCTTTTTAGAAAAAAAAAATCGTTTTTACCTACATCTCATAAGGAACCTACCAGCCAAATTTAAAGTATGGGGTGTTTAAATAGTTTCTGAGATTTCTTGATAATCATTTCACAACAGAAATGTACAGTTTGAGTGCTGTCGACTGTCCTAGGAATACGATGATGAGGGTTAAGTACCTATTCGTGCTCAGGGTACCTACAGATGATTTTTATGAGTACTTAATATTAAGGGGGTTGTTAGGCGGTCAATGAAAATGCAGATTTCGTGACGCATATAAAGCAACTGGGAGTCCAAAATTGTCATGAGATGTTTGTTCATTTGTTAGTGGTAATAAACAGGCTAGTTTACTATCTAGCTAACTAGCTGTTAGTAATACTACGTAGGTAGGAAAAAGTCCGCTAAAATCTCTGGGATCTTCTCCTAACTAAACTAGGTACTTAGTTAGGCACGGACTTTTAGGTGAAAGACAGGCTTTAAATAACCTTTTTTTTTAATTTGCCTCACTTTGAATTTGCTTGCTCACCATCAATTTAGGTAGGTACTATCAATATTATAAAATAGATTTTTGATTTATAATAAAAATACCTACGTTTTAAAAAGTAATAATTTTTGTGTATTTTAGTTAATGATTCTATGATTGATTATTTTATTTTTAATAATGATGTAGGTAATATTTTTTTTCTTTGCAAAATGAGTAGGTAACTTTTGTCTAATGCTCTTCACATAACTTAATATTTTTAATTTCTTTTTAATATCTTGGTTTTTATTTTCGTCACTTTAAAAATAAATTAATGATTTTTGAAGGATTCTGAGGTCCCAACTTCTACTTTTAGCTCAACCTCACAATATTACTTTTATCTTTCAATTGACTTATTTTTGGTGGTGTCAATAAATAAATGTTTATTTTCTACCTTCTTCATCTTTGTGTGATGTCCATAGCATTAAATCTTTCTTTCTTTCTGTTATAAATTCTTGAGTTAATAAATCATAACTAAGCTTAAAAATTAACTTTTGCCTGGCTTTTTTATCGCTGTATAAAATAAATAAATACCCTATAAAGCATTATTATAATATTAAAATATGGCCACCGCCCATGCAGTAAGTTTCCTTTGTTCGCCCCAGACGCCACGCCGCCGCTATATCGATTAGCTGACGCAGGTGCAGAATGCACCGCCGTTAACGCGCATGCATCTAGGCTCCAGACAAAGCCCGCTAGCTAGGGTAGCTAGGTAGCACTAGGGTGGCCTGATATTCGCGCACGCGTACTACAGCCCCCTTTGTTACCCTCGCCAGACGTGGGTGTCTCATTGGAATGGACGTTACACTAATGTGATAGAGTCGAAAATCGTCAAACTTTCTGACGCCCTTTGTCTGATCTTAAATATGTTGTTTACGTAGGACTCTCGATGTTATTGCGTAATGTAATATTTTATGAATAATTATGGCGCAATAGATAATTAATTTATGATTATCAAAGAATATCACGGTTGTTCGCCAAAAATTTCCGAGTACCCAATTACAATTTTTAACCAAAATTGCTTAAATTAACCCAAGGCTGGATATGATAGAAGTTTTTCCAAAAAACTTTCCTTTGCCCAGTTGGTATGGTAGCACTTGCGTCAACGTACATGGTTGGTGCGTGATGCAGTTCCTCAAATTCCAAGTCTTGGCTATTCTTGGGATGTGAGATGGAATAAGAAATAAATATCTATAATACTTATAAAAGAAAGTCGTGTTAGTTACACCACTTATAACTCAAGAACGGCTGAACCGATTTAGCTGAAAATTGTCAGGGAGGTAGTTTAGAGCCAGGAGAAGGACATAGGATACTTTTTATCCCGTTCGAAATAAAAAAAGTCTGCTTATTTATTGCCATTAAGGCGGCACAAAGTTCGCCGGGTCAGCTAGTTACTAATAACTAAAAATCGATAAAAAAAATGTATAACTTACTTTGACGAATGATATGCGTTTTATTATTTAAATAGGTAATAATTCATCAATAGCTATGATGTACCTAGGTAGGTACATCATAGTAATTCGACCATCATTATGGTATAGTTAGATAGGGAGGTCGCTATCTAACACTAAGTAGGGTATACAATGATGGTCGAATTTACGAAAAATTAACGAATTTAACGTAAAATATTTTTTGTTACAACTGCAAAGCGCGACGGACACATTATAACGATAAAATAATGGTCGAATAAATTAACAAATTTAAAGTAATATTTTTTATTACAACAGCTACAAAGCGCAACGGGCACATTTTATTAAATCTGGATAATTAATATTAGTAGGTATACCTAGTAACTTGTACAAGTAACATTTTGGGCTCAAACCCTATTGTAATTTATTCATTATTTATGTAACTATGTATTTACTAATTTGTTTTACCTATAGATTTCCTTTCCAAATATACTGACTTCCTAAATACCATGCGCTGCTGTAGTAAATGTAACTCTTTGAAATTGTTATTGTTGTTTCAAGAACATTAGTGTAATACTTCACGCATCCTGTATTCCTGTATTCGGAACTTAAAGCTTTGCCTTTCTTTGGTTCAACCAACAGAATCAGTTCCAATGCAGTGTCATCTAGTGCCGAGCGGACAAAACTTTTCATGTTTCTATTGCACAATAGATGGCGTTATAACAGGAAAAAGGGAAAAATAAATGCAACGGTTTTCTTAGGAATAGGTAAATAATAATATTCTTTGGTTGTGAGGGACAGAGCCTTTTTTCTTTTACCCAAACTATCTAAGTATAATATAAGTAGTTATTTCCATTTAGAGATAGGAATATAAATTCGCCACTTGCCTACCAGCAATAACTTACCGCCCCGATAAGTTTTTCTGACTTGTGGTTTTAAAGTATGTGAATTATTGTCTCGATTTTTTAAAAGTATTCTTTAGTTTGAATACGTATCAGGGTGATAGCATATATCTATTTGGGTCATTCCATAAAAATCTGTATATTTTCGACGTCATTTTGTCCGTAACTTTTTTAAGATGCTTTTGAATACTTTATTAGTGTAAATTATAGTTTATTAATTAATTATGTTATGTCTAAAAGGGCCAGTCACTTTATGCTTTATTTTAGGAGAAATTATAATTTTCAATTTTTTCATACTACATTACTCCTATATGACTTCTAATAAAGTATAAAACTTATAACCTTAACATTTATAGATAAGTTAATATACATAATGTAGTTGTTTTGTTATTATCACCATATAAAAAACATCATTCCCTAACTAGTAATTTAGTCCCAAGTGCCGTTTAAAGCTAGGGCCTGACGCTCTAGGGACTGACGATTTGGAGTAAAACTTAACACAAATGCAGATTAACTTTATATTATAAGATGCTTTATACGATGAGCCGAAAATAGCAAAAAAACCACACGTAAATACTAATTAAATTATATACAATTTCTTATTGTTATCAATAAAGCTACTCAACTAGGGACTGACGAAGTGACTGGATTAACACATGTTTCCGCAACAACTTGCACGTTTGCACTAATTCAAAAAACGGCTACCGCAAAGCCAGTATGGTCTGAGGATAACTTCGTATCGTACTTTAAACTCAACTAAATGTCATTCACTCTAAATACATATTAAAGCGCAAAATTATAAAATCAGTGCGTGGCGAGGGAATGACGCTAAAAGCTGTAGACTCTTTTTCAACTAAAGAAAATCAAATTATTGTTTATTGAAACCGCAAAATATTAATAGAATTTGGTGTAATATACATTTAAATAGATTATTCGTTAATTAAAACATACGATAAAGTTGATGTTTTTATAAATGTGGGTCCCAAAACACAAACTTTTGGAGTACGGACATACGTAGGGAATGACGTTTTGGGTCATTCAAAAGGAATTTAAGATGTTTTAAAAACAGTTTCAAAAAATATAAATGGGTGATGAATAAAGCACATTGCGAGCTGTTATTTAACAATTTTGGAATAAAATATTAACAAATATTTCATGTGAAATGTGGCGCGGACTAAGAGTTGACATATTTTTGTGGAATGACCCATTTACAGGAGAGTGGTTGATTGAGTGGTTCTGATTTAACCATTTTTTTAATAATGTAAAAATGCTGACTATTTAGACGACCTCCAGGTTGTTATTTCAAAAAACATGAGAATTTTTTTTATGCATTTATTAACGATCAATACACATAACACATAATACTACACTGTGCCTAAAGCTTCGCTTACGACTGAACACAGTTACACACAATTTATGACCAGTTTCTATTTATTTATTCGTTTTAAATTACGTTTGATTATTATATGAGAGAAGCAGTCACACCTTGCGTGTTGTCCAGGCTAAATAAAACAAACGTACCAGTATACAACAAGAATAAATAACAATATAAAATTAACCCTAAAATTGTAAATCAAATCCAAAACGAGTCGCTTTAACAGCTTTTGAAACTATTAGATATAATATTAATCCGTAGGGAAATTACACAACATTATTATAAAATTACACAATTCTTAATCAATAGGCAATAGTTTGTTTTTGATCGACTGACCTGCGTTTCCTCATCAACGTGATAAATACTTTCAAAAAGTCATTAAAATTAAAACTTACAACTAAAAATAAATAGTTCAAATGTACTCTGTGATGCCAGCGCGAATACTGATGGCTATGCCAATCAAGTCGGCTTAGAAGAACCTTCTGTACCTAATTTTATGGAACATTTTCCAACAATTTTCTAAAAGAGGTGGACCTAATAGTATAAAAATAATTATAAAAGTCCATCACATATCTGTTCCCTCCGAACTCTAAAGGCCCTGCGTACACGGCAAACCAGATCTAAGCTAATTGCAATAAAGTTGTAATTCCGGGCACAGAGCCTCCTTAACGTATTTTTAAAGTTGTGTACATGTTATGTTTGATTGTGTATTATGCATACCGTGTACCAGGCTTAACTTTTAGCACTCAATCGTTACCAATCAGTCCATCGAGTGATAACAATCACTCGTACAACATTGGTCCATATAACTGATTTTACGTTATTAATTTTAAATTAGTAGCTACTTTTGTTCAAATATGACACATTTTAAATGTTTTTGTGCAAATCCAGTGAGCACATAGTTGCTGGAATTAAAATTTGTATGAGTAATATAGACCAATGTTTATCGTTACCTACTCTTCTTATAAATTGAGCAATACACAAACTACATTACTTAAACGTTGTATATTGAATTTAAACATTGAGCCATTTGTTTTTATTTTTTAGTTTGTATATTAGAATTTAACATTTAAAACACTGAATAAATAGTTCTTTCAGTATTAAGTATTATATTGTATAGTGTCTTCATATACAGAACGTTTAGTAAGCGGTAATTTGTGCAGTAAGAAATACTTCCTACAATTTATGTTAGTCTACATGTAAAAATAGTTTATAAAAAGTTACAGGAAAAACTTGAGCCTTGCGTGGCAAAAATACAAAACAATCATAGAAAATAGAATGTGAAGTATTATAGTATACTAAAGTCTTGAACAATGAGGTATAAAGTCAATAAAATTCCAAGGACAAGAATTAATGTAGCCATTTGCAAATGGAGAAAATTTGACATGACAGACTAAAGGAAAACAGTGACACATTTGAGTTTCTTCGGTGCAACTAAAACCTACTTGTAATGCGTACAAATGTTAGTGCCCAGCTCACCAACATTTGTCCTCTATATAAAATCCTGCTCTACTAAAAGTTAAACGCTTCTTGAACAATATATTTATATATATACTTATATTTTAAAATGTCATTTCTAAACTTAACTTTAAAACACTAATATAATTTTATTGGTAAGGTTTGTGTTTAAGAGCGAGACTCTACAGGTGACTTTGATAATGGCTTGAAAATTTTATTTTATAGTTAGAGAGAAATAATAGGTCTGATTTAAGTGTTCAAAATTTTCATTTTATGCTGATCAAGCCCGCCAGCCCCTACCACTCTCACCTCCGCTCACAACCACCGTTTACTTCCAAGTCTTTGCCGAAATTAACGAGTTATATTTATTTTTAGGTACTGGTAACATAGATGACAGATCAACCTCAATGGATAGTAGAAAAACATTAAATAAAAAAGTTCTGAGAGTAATGTAATGAGATCAGATTCAAGCTGATTTTTGCGAAATTAAAATTCAAAACACACGCACACAATACCTTTAGCATATTTCGTCATGGTGTTTGCATAGATTAGATGGTGTTATAAGTCCATGGGGGTGACCTGTGCATCTCCTATAAGACACTTACTACAACATTTACGATATATTAATACAAAGAACTGGATTTCGTGAAGTTTTGTTTATCTACCTTACTGTTTAACTATGAATATCGTTACTAAAGACCTTTATGATCAAACTGCCCTTTTAATTGGCATAATTATGAATGTAATATAATGTAAATAATTTGAAATATACAGGGTAAATGCTAAAACTTGAGATTCGAACCGTGATTCCGAAAAGATGTTCAATACATACTTTAATATACAATTTCAAAACTTTTAATTTAGTAATGTACATACATGTATATTTTTAATAACCCTGTATATTAAATGCTACGGAAATGTATCATTTAGTAATTTGGAAGAATACGATCACACATATGTTTCTTACAGACAATAATTGTATATATCTTCATAAAGAGTATACATGTCACTTATTACTATGATTAAATGGCCTTTGCTGAGCAAAGATACACTTAGTTCACCAAAAAATCGACCCACCTTTTATCCAAAAATCTAAAAAAGTCTATACAAAGGTATCAATTAAAAAAGTAAAATATAAATAAATACAAATGTACCGTTTTATAAATGAAAAGCCTCGATAATAACTTTTTGATCTGCACTAAAAAAATCAAGGGTAAATAAAAATCATTTTAAAAATCGGTCGGCCAGTTTTGTGATGAGCTAGTTAATAATTTAATTACTAGGTTAATAATACATAATGTATGCTACCTACACTATTCTCCATAAAGACAATATTCAAACAAAACGGAACCAACGGATCAAAACATTAACTTTGCGCGAACGAGGCACATTACCACCCAGTTTTTTTTATTACGCGTAAGAGCCCTGGGTTGAAGCCCTTTTAGCCAGACCGTTACAGAGAATAGTGTTGCCATACAAATGATATACTTATCAGATCTAAATGTTGGTTAAATGCAATATTTACTACAGTAATGGTTATTTCGTCGCCATGTTTTCAATTCAGAGAGCTTAGTCTTCATCTTCGCCTTGGATGAGCAATTTGCAGGACTGAAATTAGAAAAAAAAAATTAAAACATGGCATTGTTTTTCTTTTTTTGTACGGACTGTCATTGTTTTTCTAGGGGTGGATTTGACCAAACAAGAGTAAATAATAATCTCAAAATAAATAATTAGTTTTGACATATTTCTCATACTGAAACTGTCAACGTGCCAGTTATACCAGGAGTTATTAGTCTTGGTAAAATAGACTCAAGTCTTAATTAAACGACTCGAGTGTATTTCACAAACCGATAATGTTTTTATTTTGTATGAATTGTAACTGTTTAAGTAACTATTGTAGTGCATTATAATATATTTTATTACATGTGCAATAAACGTACTTAGTATTGAATACTGTATTTGCTATTTTAAGTTTAAAAGTAATTATTATGAATGGTATATGGAATGACATTTTCACAATCTAACATCCTTTCGTGATATCAAAGTAATAATTATAAATTCATAATTACCTACTATCAAAATGCGGAGTAATGTTTCAACAAGACTTTATCTATCTATACTTTTGCACAAAAAAACTGTACAGTGGTGGACTTAATGCCAGGTGGCATTCTCTGCCAGTCAACCACAAGTCGAGTTGAGAGACTAAGACGATAATTATGTTGTAAAAGTACCTAAATAAATCCCCAAAATTATCTTATAAGCAAAATTGGAACTCGTAAGTTAATTTTGCTACCGGATTTTATTTAAACTTATATACAGGGAGCTATCCTTAAAACGCTCTTCAGTGGAAATTGAATGCATGATTTATGACCCCATGGCAGGACGACTTGATCCAGAATATCAAGCAAGATACAAAACAAGGGCTATGTTAGGAGTAAGAACAGGCTTTTTATTGGCAAGTAGCCAATGTTATTTAATTTTTAGCGTTAAGAGTCGCATCTCAAACTAATTTGAAAATTATAAATAACTTGAAAAAATCGAACTGCCTAAGGCGGGAATTGAACCCACGACCTTCCGCTTGCCGGGCGACTGCTCTTAATAATCTTAGTGGGTTCAATTCCCGCCTTAGGCAGTTCGATTTTTTCAAGTTATTTATAATTTTCAAAGTAGCCAATGTTTATAGCTGATTGCCTCAAATACGATAAAATCCATACTATACCTAGGGACTGGGGAAAATCTGTTAAAAAATCTAAAAGCCTGCAATAGAAAGAAATTTTCCATTACAGCTCAACGATTATCCCGAAAAATCACCATAATCTGTAAACAACACGACGCAACGTATTGGAAGTGACAGCGTAAAGTATGCAAACATGTGCAGACAGGTGAATCTCATTTCTCATCAATTATGTAGAATCCCTATATAATAGAACAGTTGAACATTCTAGAAGCTGAAAGTTCGAAACAATGGGACGCAATGGATTGGAAGAGACAACTTAATGTATGCATACGAAGTCCAGGTACCTAGACTTCATCGATTTACCTGGAAAACTCTGGAAGTCGCAAACGTGACGCATTTAGGGATCAGAATAATATACATACATATAAAATTGGTGTACCTAATGTAGGTAATCTCTTCGGCAAAGCATATATGTTACAGTCATAACTCATAATCGGTCAAAACCACTTTTGACTGCAAACATCAGTCAAAGGTGGTTTTGACCGATGCCCTTGGTCAATATCACTTTTGACAGATTTTTCCAGTCAACTACATTTTACCGCTGATGCTGAAACTAAAAAACGTGAAGCAGTGCAGAAATCACCTAATTAACCATAAAGCATGCAGCTTTTGATGATCACCCATATGGGTGAACCAGAAATCTGTCTCACAACAAGTTGTAAATAGTATAACAATACTATTTTAATATGTATAATGTTAGCGATCGGCGATCAGTAACGGCATTTTGGAAAATTTATGTTCTAATTAAATGTTTTGATCCAAACAGGCTATTGATTTCAAACCAGCTAAAAATAGATTACAGCAAATAAGAGAAAATGAAGCAAATTTTCAGGTAAAATTCAAAATAACTTTTGGGAATGGTATCTGATTTCTTATTGCGATGATCAAGTCGCGATAATGCCAGTTTTTGGTACTGAAGAGCTACTCCCAAACTCCATTTTTGTAGTTTCGGTCTATCTGGCACTATTACTCATGCTAGCATCTTGCTTTACGTGACAGAGATGGCAACATTCGAAATTTCGGATATCTTTGGGAGTAGCATGAATGAAGATTCCCAAACACGACGTACTACAATCGCCGATTCTAAATTGCATTGTCACGGGCTAAATAACATCGTAAACAATTTGAAATGATAATAAAAAAATAAACTTTCCATTATCTATGCTCATATTCTACGGATGCAAAGTTGTCTACGTTAGGTACACTCTACGGCATGTCAAGTGTAACAGTTGAACTTCAACAATGACTCTATCACGATCATAATAAGGGTCCGGGTGGTCTTAAGTAGAGTTGCCGCGAATAGTTGTTATAGCGAATAGTCGAATACCGATTAATCGCCATTCACTTTGGCGAATAGTCGAATAACTCGACATTACTATTCGACATAAAATAAAAACATTAAAATTATTTCTAATTTTTTCTTCTAAGGTTGTGAGAAAAGAAAACAATAAAGTTAAAGAAATCTGTTTCATGTTATTTTATACATACCTACAATATGTAGTAAATTTTGGGCATGTTTTGAAGAATCATCTATAGATCAACCTACTGAAGAGCACCCCAAGAATGCCACTGCTGAAGAAATCGCCCACTACATCGCATTAGCAAAGGCTGACAGAAAAATAAACCCATATGAATGGTGGACTTTGAGTACCAATAAGAATAGATTTCCTATACTAAGTAAGCTTGCTAAACGATACTTAATCACACCAGCAAGCTCTGTTTATTCAGAAAGACTATTTTCCGAGGCAGGTTTGATTTACGAGGAAAAACGAAACCGACTTGCTCCCGAACGTACAGAAAAAAAATGTTTTTTGCACCACAATCTGCCTCTGTTGGATTTTAAATATTAATTAAAAAGCCTAATTTAATTTCATGAATATGATAGGCACAGGTACGTATATTAAAAATAATAATTGATATTGTGTATTGTTTTATTAGGGAAAGTAATAAAAATAATTATGATTATTTTTAACTCATTAGTTTTTTTGTTCACTAAAAGTTTATTTTAGTTTTAGACGACTATTCGCCGAATGCCGAATAATACTAGCTATTATTCGGTATTCGACGAATATAAAAAAAATGGCGAGTAATGCCGAATACCGAATAATAGCGAGTATTCGCGGCAACTGTAGTCTTAAGTTCAACGTATACCCTTGATCTGCTGTTATGTGTACATTAATAGCATAGACTTTACCTAATAGTTGTTTTCAATTGAAGATACCAGACCAGAGCACACTCCATGAATCTAAAACTATAAAAAAGTGTTACAACAACTACTCCAGTGTTTTAATTTAATGAAATTTAATGTATATGTAGCAATAGCAATTTATTATCTCATAAATAGTTACGAAAACGACTCTAAGTTGATGAAAATAAAATAAAATGATTACGTGAGAAAAGTGAGCTGACCTCCATTTTAACTACGATTGGTTTCACAAAATGGCGGCCCGCGCGGCCGCTTGGCACAGTACCTACTTATATTTTGCAGACTAGTCTTAAAGGCTATTTTGCCAAAATACGCTGTTTAAATCATCAAATTAAAAAGCTCTCTAAAACTGTATTAAAACAATACTATTAATGGAGCCGTAACAATAAAAATGTCACCAGTAGACAGCAGATTCTAGCTATCGCAAAATTACGAATATCCCCAAAAATTTTTGGAGAAGAATATTTTGACCAAAATGTAGCTTTGTGTGCTAGCGAACTGATGTAACCTAATCTTTAGCACCTGAAAATGACCCTGACCCTGAGTATATGCAGTTTTAGAAAAACTAAATATAATATATCTCACTCTACACTTTTCCACCACTGCAATTTCTGTATAACTAGGACTACAGCTTGGCTTTGGTCTCGAAACCCAACCCGCGATAATTAACTGTCTTTGGAACCCGTAACGAATTTAATCAGAAGAATATAGGAGTATTTCGAAATTCACTTGCCGCCGTTGCAAAGCTGGCGACAGATGACCAGTAGCGTAACTACAGGGTAGCAGGACTGGCAGTGCTGGAAAAATTCCATGGGCCTGCGACCCGAGGGGGCTCCAGGCCTAAGAAAGAAACTTATTTTTACAAAATTTCGAAGATGATTGTTGATAGTACTCATTCATGAGCTATGCTACCAATCGCCCCCCCCTCAATGAATTTGCCACGGGCCTCGGATGGTATAGTTTCGCCATGGCAGATGACTGTAACTACAGAAAAACTACTAGCGATATGAGGGCCGACATGACGTCTATCTACCAAAAGTCTAAGGTTAAATCAAAACGATGACATCAACATCTATCAAGCGGAAAAGCGGTGATCTACTGACAGCCGATAGCAGGCTCTCCGTGGTACACGATAAAGTTAGTTTTTGCTTCACCTGCAAGATCCTGTGAGGGAGCGGGCCAGGTGGTGGGGTGACTGAGGAGTATTCACACATCAGTTCACTTCGCCCCAACTGCACCATTTTGAACGCATAATGATATTTACAAAAAATACACATCCATTAGTGAGTAGGTACCTACTGAATCTTCTGATACAAATATACACCCGTATTCAAAAACGATGCTTGCTTAAGTGAAGCAGCAAATTGAACGCACAGCTTGAATAGTGCTCTGTGATTGGTTCGTGTGTGAGCCTGTGCGTCCACGCGCATTGTGGAACCTCATTGTAAATTGTAATGTTTGTGAATACGGGCGATAGACTTTCCAGTGAACTAGGTGCGATCGAAATAAACCAAAATCAAGGTGCAGGTAAAGCCTGGTCCGTGAGCACGTAGAATTTTGTCCAATGACCCCAAGCTACCCATCCTTATCGCTCGCGCGTAATTATATTGCTGTCGCGACTGTGCGACGGGCTCCCGCAGTGAGTGTGCGAGCGCAACAGCAACATAATTACGCGCGAGCGATAAGGATGGGTAGCTTGGGGTCATTGGACAAAATTCTACGTGCTCACGGACCAGGCTTTAGTCATAGTTTAGTGATCTTACAAGCAACAAGGTTTAAAACAATGAAAAATATATTTACAATTTACTTTGCATCGAAATCATGATTTAACATGTTGTTAAATTCTGTCCGTGTTAGGGCACGATTGTTTTACAATACATAAGCAAAATAATCCAACGCCCGCATTCACAAACGTGAAGCGGCATCTTACGCACAGCGTTAGTGGTTTAATAGAGCTCTGTGATTTATGTATGTTCGTATTGTGGTTCATATGTCATCCTGTGCGTCCACGCGCACTGTGAGACCTCATAGTAATGTTTGTGAATACGGGCGTAAGCCCCGCAAATGGTTCTTGTGTACCAATTCATTTAGGTACCCTAAATTCAGGAACAGATTCAATTCAATTGAACAGAGGTAAATGGAGATGTTGAAATTTAAGTGATCTGTGAATCCCATTCCCATCCCAGCTATGTTTGATTTTGGATATCATTTGAATCGTCACATCTGAATACGAACAAACTAGGCGTATTTTTCTTTTACTTTTCTTTCACGTTCTTGCACACGCGGAACTTAGGGCGGAGCTGAAAGCAGGACTTGATTTTGTAGGACATGAACAATCATACAGAATTTCGTATCAATGTTACGGTTAATGTGATAAATTGAAAATTATTAATAATAACCGGTTATTATGAATAATTACCGACAGTCGCGGTAAAAGTGATAAATTAATCACATTTAACAGTAATTATTTAATAATTTAACCTTAGTACTAACAAATTTCATAAAAGAGAACAACATCTTGTGTACGTGCTAGAGGTGGGCGCCACGCCGGCGCGCCGCCGCCGCCGCGAATTTTTTCACGCCGCCGCCGCCGACGACCAGCTGTCGGCGCGCCGATACTGATACTGTACAAACTATTTGCAATTTATTCCTCTCCTATACTGTACTAATTTGTGTTTCAAACGCAGAAAAACTATTTTTTATTGAGTTGAGCGGCTATTCTAGTTCAATAAAGTCCTAATATAACTGCGACCGGTACCGATCTATTGTGATCGCCGCTATTTTCCTTACAGTTCGCCTCCGAGTCCTGCATCCATTAGGAATTGCAGTATCTTTTGGGGGGCGATATGTTTTACATCTTGCTTGATGGCTTAGGATGTGTTTGCCCAGGTGTAAGCTCCGCTTGCGCATCAAAGGTCCGCAGTCCGTGAGAATGTGTAGTGGCGTTTCATCTGCCTCTTGGCACATCCTGCACGTTCTTGATTCGGACAGTCCCATAGTGGACAAGTGCTTGTTTAAGCTGCAGTCTCCAGTGAAGGCTCGAACTAAGATGCACATTTTGATCCCACTCAGTCCTATGATCTGCTTAGAGCATTTTCGGTCATAGGCTTTTATAAGAGCTTTGGAATGAGTTAATCCTGGCGTGTCTGACCATGCTTTAAAGGATTTGTTTAAATAGATGTTCTCCAGGGTCATTCGAGCGAGACTTTTGGAAATTCCACAAAAGTGTTGGCCATTTTCACGATTCCTGCGTGACCTGGAACCCATCTCAGCGTTACTCTGTTACGTTTTCCTAGGGTATTCAGTCGACTCATGCAGTTTTCTACCAACTTTGAAGTGATTAAGATGGAGTTTAAGGCCATCAGCGCGGCCTGACTGTCTGAGTTAATGTAAATTATGTGGTTGGCATATTTTTTTCGCAGGTTAACTTCCGTAACATTCAATAATGGCGTAGACTTCTATCTGAAAGATAGAGGCAAATTTACCCAGGCTTTGAGATAGCCTAAGCTTCGGCTGCTCTCCATACACGCCAAAGCCTACGTTAGGGCCCATTTTTGACCCATCAGTAAACCATATTATAACAGAAGAACTAACTATAATATTTATTCTTTAATGCCATATAAATTGGTACACAAGGCGAACTTAATGCCGTTGATATACTAATAAATTGATTGAATAACTTAATACTAACTATATTAACAGTTAATCAAGTACATTATTCAAGTTACTGCTTAATTGATCGCGAGAGGCGCCGGTCCCTCTTGCTGTCAAGAAAAAAATCCCCGCCTTCGTCTGGCAGATAACCCACACTATTGGACTATAATTTAAGCGAATCACTCACACAGAGATTGGCAAATATGTCTCGGAATGCAAATGGGAACCACAACCTCTGGAAGGCAACAAAGTACCTCCCTCAAAGTGTTCTCCGCTTATTAGGTCCGGTAATACATGAGTGGCGAGTGCGAACTGACAAGAAAAATCTCTTTTGCTACATGACAAGCCGGTTTATTTAAACCCACTGACACGGATAATCCCTTACTACCCTATACCTTAATAACCTTCCCATTGTGTTTTGAGAGGGCTCATTTTACATCTTTTCGTATGCTACTTCTGGACATTTTTGTACTTGACTATCTGAGGAGTTGACCGCCATGTTTCCGCTTACCCTCCTCAAGTTCAAAGTAGAGGATTGATTCCTACTACGCTAATTGAGGACGAAAGACGCAGGAGGACAAAGTGACTCGACATAGCCCACAGAATCGCTAAAATCAAGTGGCAGTGGGTGGCACATATCTCGTAGAACTGATGGCCGCTGGGGCAGTAAAGTTTTTGAGTGGCGACCACGAGCCGGAAGACGTAGCGTGGGCAGGCCTCCCATTAGGTGGACCGACGATTTGGGGAAGGTCGCAAGAAGTGCATGGATGCGAGCGGCGCAGGACGTCTTTCGACTGAAACGAAAGAGCTAACGCTAAGAGAGATGGCTCAGCTAAAGAAATAGCCAAAATGGACCCTCATAAAGCACTTGCATTTGATCTGATCACCATGAAGTCCATGGTCTTGACAATGACCACACTGAGTGAGAAGAACCTCGCCAGTCTCTTAACTTTGGAAATGATCCATAAGGCTGGCAAGTCGCCTAACGAATTCTCTTATCGCTCAATTAATCTGACATTTGTATTGTTAAAATTATGGAATAGGATCATTCTTGCTCGTTTATTCCCTTGCCTAAGTATGACCCATGTAATATTGTATACCCGACCATAAATTTTGGCAGAAACCATACTAACCATAATCAGTACAATGTTTGGAAAAGAAAGAATCCGAAAGTACGTCTGCTTTCGCTGCGGCTTCAGCTGGGTTTATCATAAAGGACTACTCTATGAAATTAAAAAGTACCTTCTAGCACACTTCACCTGCTGATGGATTCTTATCTCAGTGACAGACAGTTTTAAATCAAACTCGGTGACAAAATCTTCTCTTTTTAGCTGCAGAGCTGGAATACCCCAGGACTCTGTACTTGGTCCGATACTCTATACTATAACATCTACTAGTAAAGTAGCCCAGACACCAGAAAGCTGCGGCATTCCTCAAATGTAACTGTGATCTTAAAGTGACTAGACTGTTGCAAAGTCAGCTGCTTGGCTGACCAAGTGGCGCATGTAATTAAGCCCCGAAGTCTCACCATACTATCATTTAAGACGTGAAACTTATCCTCCGGCCAATCTAGACCTCGACACATTGCTGCAATCAACCTGCATTAAAATCCTGGACCGTAGGATGACATGGAAAGACCATAAATATAAATAAAACAGAACTGAATATAATATTCCACCGACAGTCAGCTAATCCAACATTAACTATGTGCCTCCAAAGAGCTCAAAAATACATGTTAAAGGTACTTTTATCGGCACATTGTTACGCTCGCCTTTAGGAAGTACACGAGAACCTGATCTCAGCCAAACCCGCTATCCAAATATCAAAGTACCTATCTATCCCGCTATCCAAAGATCAAGTGAGCTAATTTACTAGGGTAAACCATTGCTCAAGTGGCTCAAACCCCAACCAACTGCAAATTACCTGATTAGTCTTGACGACAGATACTAAAAAAACCGGATTTAAAAAAAATACCTAATGAACAAAGGTCAAACAAGGTCACGCCGCCGACGCCGCCGCCGCCGAGGTCAAAAAGTCGGCGCGCCGCCGCCGGCCAATTTTATATCGGCGCCCACCTCTAGTACGTGCTCGTGTACAGCCAAATTTTTGGACGTTTTGATATCATATATTAATATAATTTGGCATAATGAGTTTGGAATGTTTCTTGCATAATATTACTTTTCCATGATGCCTATAATATAATGTTTTGATTTAAAGTGAAAAATAGGTTAAGGTGCGGCGGCTATTTAGTTTTATACACACATAAATGACCTCAAATTAATCACATTTACCAAATCATGCGGTAATTATTCATAATAACCGGCGATTATTCATAATTTTCACATTTATCACTTTGAACGTAACATCAACACCAATTTCAAGTACCATCCACTCATGATCATATATTAAGTAGAAACAAAATTGCAATAGCTCCTGAAAACTAACTTACACGTGTCGAAACCAGCTATGTGTACTGTTTCTAACGTTTCATAATAATATACCTTTCACTAAGCTCCGCGCATGCACGAGCGTTTACCCCAGTAAAATTCTAGAAAAGAATACAAGCAGTAAATGTACGAACCTCCTCAACGCCGACGACCTGCCTGTAGGGCTTGACGCGCTTGCGCTTGATCAGCGGGTCCAAGCACAGAAGGAACCCCATATAGACTGAGAGCAGCATCAAAAGCCACAGCACAATCACCACCACAACCTGTGCACACGGTACTGTATTACAAAAAAGGAAACAAGATCACGGACATACATCTACGGCCCAGAACAGACGGTGAAACGCAACTGCAACGAAACTGCAACTTTCTGAGGATTCTGATGAATGAAACTGAAAGTTTCAAACTCGTCGCGTCATGTGTGGTCGCTCAACGGACGCTATGGCAGAAACTTAGATGCAACTCAAAAGTAACTAGCAGTTGCAGTTTCGTTGCAGTTGCGTTTCACCGTCTGTTCTGGGCCTACGTCTTCCGATACCGATTTCATTTGGAATCGCGCAGCGAGGGTTGAAACGATCAACACAAGCAAAGATTTGTGTCTGTCGCGCCGCCGCTTGCATAATCTGCTTCTGTCTCGATTGCACGCATTTAGCAAGAGCGAGGTAGCTAGTGTATTCGATTGGAACTTGAAGGGTAATGTGTGTACTTATATTACACGAGTGTGAGTACTGTGTTCGCTTCAACTATCGTTGCGCGACCCATAGCGATACTTTGGAATGGATACTAAAACTTTAAGCGAAGCTGGTGGTGAAAAATTAGACCGACCATTTCAATTTCATTTATCTGATCACAACCGAGGTATAGTTCAAAAGTATCGATACATTAGTATATTATTTGAGATAATGATATTTTTTCATTAAACACTTTTATTCATTTTACTTATCAGCATTATCGTTAGAGCATTTTATGTCTGTAATAATTTATCATGCACTCTGCTGACGAAATCTGGCATTCGCATAGCATTGTCGTTTATGTTCACACGAGCGGATCAATCTCAATCCTCCTTCCTAGAAAAAAAAATGGACGACATCTCGACGTAAAGGTGGATACTCACCAGAAGCATTCACGTGTAATGTAAAGGTGGGTTTAGAGCAAACGAGCGAATGCTCCTTTTATAATCAACTCTATCTTTTGGAATTTTGGGAAATTCTTAAAAATAGTAACGCTCATAAGTTTCATTTATGAGACTACGAACAATTCCTTACAACATACGCTCGACTTGGTCCATGGTCTACACGAATCTTATATGTAATAATTTTATTGTTATGTAACAGATATAAAAAAATCAGTTAACACTGACTTTTAAAGAACATCAACAAAATGACCTTTGTATTATTGTTTGTTGAGCCAAACTAAATCCACCTTAAACAATTTTAAATTCGATCTTAAGCATTACAATATTGCGCTGGCTATACTACTAATTAACCGAGAAGCAAGTGCTTTATCATCTACTTTAAAAGTTATTGTCATGCTCGCTAGTCGCTAACATAATAGTGCGCGAATCTAAACTGTTTCATTACACACGAATGCTCCCTGTGAGTATCCACCCTAATCATTGTTGGAAGATAATAAAAGCCACTAAGTTAGGAAAACAAAAATAGGAAAAATCATAGCTGCACACGAAAATATTAGGCCACTGTATACTATGACTACACACGATGTAGCATGGATCCAGCACGAGACCTCATAATCGGAAGGCTGTGGGCCGCATCTTCCGATCGTATCATAAGTAGTTCGTTTCATCCACGAACACGCGCGGGGTCGAGGGAAGCGCCGACCAATCCGAGGGTCATCCATCATTATAGTTTGCGCGCGCACTGACGGACAACGCTGCACATACCAACAATGACGTTCGGATTGTTCGAATCAAACTCCCCGCACCCCCCGCATTACTCAACCCCGGCGTCTTCGTGGATGAAGAAACGAACTATAGCTGCAGTGAAATAAGCGACTGTATGACTACACAAGACGTAGTGCGGATACAGAAAGAGACATCAAATCGGAAGGCTACGGGCCGCGACTTCCGATAGTGAGAAGGGAATAAATGGTGCTTACTTACTCATAGATCCGAGTAGATGGAGTTTTATTCGGCAACCCTAGTAATACGCAAGCTAAGATTGATTCGCAAAAAAGCATAGTATTTGAAAACATTAAATAATGGATCCACTAATTTGGTGGTAAACAAGAGGACAGATATTTGCCTCATTTTACTGATTTATGTGGCACCGGATAGTCTAAAGTAGACAACGGAACATTCGATTAAGATTCGAAGTCGTTATCGCCGCCTCGTTACGGCTCCAAGTTGTACAAAACAGTGGATGTGCGACGTGCGTCTTTATTAAATCACGACCATGTTACATTGTCCTGGGAGCCCGAGACAAGGACATATCAATAATAGCCCCACTGACATTCATCAGCTCATCAATGTCCTGCATCTTTTGCAAAAATAGCATCTATTAGAAGTGCATACGATGCAGTATTTAGTTTTAGTTGCAAGAAAAACTCCACCTATTCTGATCTACGCTTATTGCTAACTAGCACACCGCTCTGGCTTCGTTCTGGTGTTACTTTGTTATTGGGGTATCTTGGGCCTATATACTTTGTAACACAGAAGATATTTTCGCCATACTAAAATTCAAGGATGGCATCGTACGCCAGTTGTACCGAACTGTCATAATACCACTTTTGACGATGCACGAATCGTGCACGAAGCGTGAAGCACGATTGCCGATACACCATAGATGCCAGTGTGATGGATGCCATTTGCTGTAGCGAAGTGTCCTTCTTCAAGATATTTTTTTCAGAGGAAAAGGAGATATTATGGCCTTATGGTATGGCCCAATTGTGTAATAGAAGTCCGACAATAAGTTTTTTTACGGAGCAGCCCCATTCTTAAACGTCAGACTCAGAAATTAATCACTATTTCGGTACTGTTGTGCGATTTACAGAGTTTAAAAGGTGTGCAAAGCCGAAGCGGCACGCTAGTTTCAAAAAATTTGGATTAAATGATTTACCACCACTAGCCGATGATCAAATATACTGCCCGCATCCTCTTTGTCTGTATCATCTTTGACTATATCATCTTTGACTTTAACATCTTTGACCTTATCATCTTTGACTATATCATCTTTGACTTCATCATCTTTGACTTTATCATCTTTGACTTTAACATCTTTGACTTTATCATATTTGACTGTATCATCTTTGACTATATCATCTTTGACTTTATCATCTTTGACTGTATCATATTTGACTATATCATCTTTGACTGTATCATCTTTGACTATAACTGTATCATCTTTGACTGGCTGAAAATTTGATTAAAAATAGCACACTCATATACACAATACTACACTATGTATATTATATTTCTTATCTTTGTACAATGTCTCATGAACTGTGATCTCGCATATAGCTTGTGCATTAGGTCCTGTTCATACACATGAGCGACACATCCTATTGAAAATTGGTATCGCGATGCGCGCCCCAGAATCTTTGGTTGAATGCATAATCAATATCTGTGTGCATCATACATTCAAAATATTTTTTTAATACCGATTGTGTAGCACTAATATTGTTGTGATTTCTAACTAAGGCTATTATTATATTTTTTCAACATAGCTCGCTCATAATGCTCTATCTATGAAGTGCGAGCTATACTAACTACTAAGAGGAAGCCATATTGCCTGTATAAGTGCATTGATTAGGCGTTCCCAAACCTACCCTCGATGCATACCACCAGGTCCAACAATGGACCACAATAACAAAGTCAAAATAATAATTAACAGGCATACATGCCTCTGGTCTATTTGAGTCATTATATGTGGTCCAGACTTGGATATGATGGCCAAAAGAGCGCTGGCCACACACTCATTAGCATGCCATGTCTTGGGTAATGTCACATTTGCCAGACCTGTACCATACTTGCATTAGGTAGAAAGATAACGAACCACACCCACTTTTTTAAGCCACAGACTCTATGGCCTGTGTGCTCAGCGCTTAAAATACTAAAAGATAAATGATCTATTATCAACAGAATTGTAGTATGTACACTAAGGAAGAGTTGTCGCTCATCTAACTCTAAAAATCCTCTTCGAAGTCTCAAGCTTTTATATACGGCTTGAGAAAAGGTTAAATACAAGCAAAGTGCCTTATTAATTGCCAAGGATTATAAGTTGTTATTTTAATTATTTAATGTGTATTCATATTGTATCTACTCACCATTATAACGGTGGTGTTCCTCGTCTCATATTTGCATTCGCAACGAGGGCAATACTCTTGCTGCCGAGCTCGTACTTCCTCACTCACACGAATGAGTACCACTTCATCACAGTTACTGTGTAAAAATGAACAAGAATCACTAAAATGTATAGCTCTATATGGGTTGCTAGTTAAAAGTATCATTTGGCCAAGCAAGCTGGTCCTCTCTGCCTAATATCACAAACATAATTCAAAGGGAGTCCAAATCTCCCAATGTAACACATAGAGATAACTTTTTTGAAAAGGAGGCTGATTAGTTTGATCAGAAAAATCAGTAGGTATTCAAGTTTGAGAGGTTATTGTGCAAGACCGAAGAATTATAAAAAAATGATAGCTGATAGATTTAATGACCAAGTATCTTGTCTTCCCAGAATTTTTTCGTTTACTAAACTAATTTACATAGAGAATGCTAAGTTATTGCATCGAATAACATTCACAAGAACTTTGCTTTAGTTACTAAACTGAATTTGTTTGATTGTCTTCCTGTCTAATGTGGTCATTCAGTCTTAAAATGTTAAACGACTGAAGAATAGTCGAAAACAATGATGAACTACAAATATTTAGATTAACTAATTAATATTCCTTTCTTGATTAAGATATGGTAAAGATATAAGATTAAGCTTAGTTCAACTTCTTACAATCTCTTTATTATGAAACATTCTTTATTTAATTGATAATTTCTCTGTTTTGTTAATCTTTTCATTTTTATACCAGAGCAGTTACTGCTCAATTGTATAGTCAACAACAGCTCAAACTTGATTCTTTATTGTGGACAGCTGGCACAGCTTTTTCATAATATTTATAAAGTTACTAAATAGTATGATTTTAAAAGTAATCTCAACAAAATGTCGGGATGCAACAGTTTGGTATTGATTTTACCTAGAATACTGAATGGATGTGTGTGTGCAACACCTACCATTTGTTGGGAGGCACATTGGCAATGAACAACTTTTGGCTGTAGGTCAAGGAGTTGTTGGACACCACCGATTGGCTCGGACAGAGACACCGGCACCTTTTATCTTCATAAAACTGCCCCTTCACCCCCTAGGAAACAAAGCATATGTTCACATACGTCCTTAAATGGCGCACACCTACACAGGTGCGCCGCAGCTCAACAAGTAATCAATACATCCCCGGGGCAGTGCTTAAAGCAAACTTAATTAATTAACTTACCAAAATCCAAATGAAAATCACAGACAGCGCCAGCAGCATCTTTATCTTCGACATTTTTAGTGGTAGCTACCTGACCTTATTTAACTTCTAAACACTGGTTATGCAACTAAAATGTTCTTGCTCCTGGATCTAGGTCTGCTCGGGACGGGTGTTGATCGAGAAGAGGAATGGGATGCTATTTGAGATGCGCAACGCGAATTGATTGATCAAAGGATTGTTGATTGTGTGCAACAAATTACACAGGTAAATTGACACATGACACTGACAACAGCTGACAAAGACAGCGACAGCTGACGTAAGTGACACCAACTAGGGATGTCCTTTACCTTTCGGAGTAGAAATTGAATGTTTCAGTTAGATATTTCCAAAATGATTGCGAAATATGGAGACGGCCTTAATCTACAACATAACCTATTGACCATAACTAAAAATAATGAGTTTTCATAAAGAACATAATATTAAAAATCTTTTTTCCGGTCATATTTAATACGAATAATATTGTAGAGTGCCTCAATCTTAGCTACAAAATAAATTCAAAGTTTAGGGTAGCGTTGAACCTGAGCGTAACCAAACTCTACATAGCATTTTATATCAAATGCACACTTGTGTTTTCCAAAAAATCTTACTGTTCATTATCGTAAAATAGCTCAAGATTCAAAATAAATTGATATTTTGGCGAAAAGGAATCTTCCTTTAACATCTCCTTACGAAACTAGTACTCGAAGTATAAATCAATTATTAAAATTGCCAGTCCATTGTTTTGTTGCCAACCGCGTCTGCGATAGCCAAAAGAAAAAAAAAGTCAGAGAGTCACGAAAGTAGACATTGTTTTTTAGCCGTAAATTTTAATGAAAATTTATAGAAAACTTATCAAATCGTATTGAGTATGTTTTTTTGTTGTTCCTAAAATATTTTTTATTCAGGTAATTATTTGCACTTTATTTACAAACAACTTAATTTATAGGTTATATTGTGTGATTTCGTAATCGTATTTTGCAGTCAGTATTTCTTATAGTAAGAAAGTTTTGTTCTATTATTGATTGAAGGTTGTTATTCTAACTGTGCAGCTTTGTTTTTTTATTACATGAAAGATTTGTCTGTAGGTTTTCAACGTTGTTTTAAATAATTTTCTCTCGGCAGAATGTCTGGTGCTGAACATATTTTCCGCGTCCGAAGACTATATAAGTTGATATTCCGCGTGCACAGAGCGCTGCCGGCGGAACTGCGTGTGATGGGAGACAATTACGCGAGAGAAGAGTTCAAACGGCACAAGAAATGTAATCCAGAAGAAGCTCGGATATTTCTAAACGAATGGACTGTAAGTAGACATTAGTTTAAGACCATAAAACCTTTGCAATAGTCCTTTTCTACGTTTCTTTTGCCTTTTAGGCCTTTCCATTTGGTTGTTTGATAGGTCCACCTCCTATCTTTATATCAAACAACAAAATGGCAAGGCCCAAAAGGCAAAAGAAACGTCGGACGGCCGAAGAAAAGATGGGCCGATGACATAACAAACAAGACAGGGAGAAATTAGATATACATAGCCAGCGACAGGGAAAGGTGGAAAATATGGAGGAGGCTTACCCAAGTAGGGCCACAAACAAGAGATACAGATTAATTGAATGAAAATGTTAAAATGTGGAATGTAAAGCTATAATAATAATAATAAATAAGCCCTGCAGGGCAGCTTTGTGGCGAGCTGTTGGTGAGTAGCGACACCACGGGGCCAGTTGTTAATCTGAGTGCTCCCGAGAGTCGGTCAAGACCCTCGTCTTCGGCTTGCCGAAGTGGAATCCGAGAGGGTCTGCAGGACTTTCACCTCTGGCTTGCCTTAACCGGCTGGCCAGAGTGGAGTCGCTAGAACTATATGCTCCAGGGGTGGAAGTGTTAAAGGGCATTACGCCGCGAGTAACTTCCGGTCTATACGACCCATGACGCCAGGGGGGGCCCATCTAGTCGCTGGCTAGTCACCGCCTGCCATTTTTTCAATCCGAGACTATGAACCAGGCAGGTGACCCGTAGTCTCCATCCATAGCCCAGTAACCAGTCCATCCATCCTTCATCCATAACCCAAGTCCATTCTCCAATAACAGCAATAGCTCCTGTGCACAGGCTGGGGATGGTCTCTGGCTACATCCCATGATATAGTAGGAGACAACTTTGTGATGATTCTGATGAATGAAACTGAAACTGAAAGTTTCAAACTGGTCGCCTCATGTGTGGTCGCTATGGCAGAAACTTGATGCAACTCAAAAGTAACTAGCAGTTGAAGTTTCGTTGCAGTAGCGTTTCACCGTCTGTTCTGGGCCTTACAGTTTCTAAAATGTTAACCCTACAGCGCATAGTGGGACACATATGGTACATACCAAATTATTGCCTATATTTCGTAACGCGATGCTATTTAATGCCATCTATTAGAAAGTACCTTAACTACACACTATAGCACATAACAAAATAGCTCACATTTGTCGCCACGGAAGCGCTGCACTCAGTAAACTGTTTTGCAGTCGAAAAAGTCGGTCAGTTTTTGAAAAAGTTTATTAGTAAAGTTTTACTCTTGGGAAAAAAAGTGAAAATTACAATGTTTTCTTTCGAAAAAATATAAAAGGGGTAAGTTATTGTTTCTAGTTTATTGTTAAATAAGTATTTTTTGATATCAGTTACTATCAACGCATATTTTGGATGTTATTTGTATGTGCCTGATATGGGTCACTGTGCAATAAGGGTAAATATATTACTTGATTGATTTCTGATGATGACACGCAAAAAGAGTTACAGAAACTGAAATTGGGCATATTTCGAATCAGAAATGAAGAGATCAATAAATGAACTAAAGCTGCTGACATAGCCCGACGGATTAGCGAGCTGAAGTTGCAATGGGCAGAGGACATAGTACGCAGAACTGACAGCCGATGGGTCAGGGAAGGGATGGAAGTTCTGGAGTGGAGGTCATGTAAACGTAACGTGGGACGTCTACCCACAAGGTGGACCGACGACCTCATAAAGGTAGCAGGAATAAAGCGCTGGATGCAGGCCGCTACCAACCGGGCGATGTGGATATCATTGGGGGAGGCTTTTGTTCAATAGTGGACGTCCTGTGGCTGAAATGATGATGATGATGATGATGATTGTCATTCGTTTCTGATATGCTGGAGTAAAGGATGAAAAAAAGCCAAAAGCCAAAGACGCCAGCAGGACTGATGGCATCGACAACTCCCCGTTATGGTTAACTACGAGAACACGTTGTACGTTTCCAGGTTGTAAGGGGAATTCTTTAATCGTTTCAGTCCATGGTCTGGAAGATGTAGTGTGGGCAGGACCCTCACTAGGTGGACTGATGATCTGGTGCAGGTCACGTCAGTACCTGGATGCGGGAAGCGCGGGATCAGTCGTTAAGGAAATTCTCGGAGGAGGCTTTTGTCTAGTACTGGACGTCATTTGGCTGAAATGTTTCATAGTTTGTGAAAAATTAAAAGTGACAGTGTGCCTAAATAAAAGTAAAAATTGTCTTATGTCATTTCAAAATGTAAATTTTATAATTTAATAGTTATTAAACCGTAAAATTTCGTTCAAGAGGAAAAAGACTGCATAATGGTTACTGATCTCATTAAATTCCTATTTTCTATTATATTATGGTGTCGTTACTTACTATATTATACATAAAACATTTTATTATGATGTTAATTTAATTTTTAATTGAAATATATCATAATAAATCTTGCCGTTTTATTTCATTGTCACCGACTGTATGTCAGACCATACATAAAACTTTAGGCACCCTTAATGCATTTTGGGACACATCTGGTACATACTGAAAAACTCAAAATATTTCCGAAAATATTGAAAATAGATTTTTTTTATTATTTTTCCCGAAACATAGATAACATTTAAAAGTAATGTAATTTTTTTTGTTCAATTTGGAAAAATCGTGCACTGTAGGGTTAATACTTACGTACACATTCCCACACGTTTCAGGACTATGCAATAGGCCTCGCACAGCAGATGAAGCCACTGCAGCAAGCTAAACGTAAGACAGTCGGCAAGTACATAGATCCCCAGTTACTGGACCACATGACCGATGACCAGATCGTTCAACTTTACGAACTGCACAAAGCCGCCACACAAGAAGACACAGAAAATACGGACAGTACCAAAGACACAGTTGAGAAAAAGTGAAGTAAGGCGATTATCCCACTGCGCCGCGCTCCGCTGCGGTACGCGGGACGACAGATTTAATCATTGTATGCAAGTACCTCAGTTTGTATAGAAAATACGCGCGGTACAACACACTGACAACGCGTATGCGCGCGGGATTTTTTATATGAAATCACGCGAAGCGCGGCGCAGTGTGATAATCGTCTAATATTTATGTTTAATTTTTGATAAGAAAATCAGTGCGTCAAAATATTATGTTCCTGTTCATTATAGACTTGTTTAAAGCACTGTTTAACCTCACAAGGCTTAGTATCTATAAGTTCAGTAGTAAAGTTATTAAATCTAATATTAGATAGATAAATTCAATCCCAAAAAAAAAGGATAGGATTACTCTATGAAGTTATGATACCCGCATGCCCTTTTGCATAAATCAATAGTTTGACTTCAGTTATATATGTATATTGAAGAAGCAATCAACAATCATAATAATGAAATGTATAGGTATTATGTAAATATAGATGAAATTATGTGCAATTTATACACTTCTAATTTTGTTAAATTGCAATTTTGTTAGAGGATGTATTAAATCTATTCTTGGCACTGGCGACTTGAAGTAATAAATAAACCTTTCGATGTAGCAGCTTAGGCGAATTAATAATTAATTATGTAATAATAATAATAAATGCTCGCAATTTTGCTGATTTGACCGGGTCTGATCCACAGTGCAAACTCGTTCACACTGCTCTGGTCTGATCTAGGGTTGCCAGGTGTCCGGCTTTTTACATTCTTGTCCGGCCAAATATTGTCTTGTACGGCCTGTCCGGCTTTTGTTAGGCTTTTATTTGGCTGCCGCGCCAGGCGAAAGTCGAACCAGGAAGCTGGAAATTTTGAATTTTCGGATAGATCCCGTTTATTTTGTAACCTATTATTGGTACCGTTGGATAGAGCTCGTGAAGGACTTTCAGGATCAGTAACTAGTTTTTGGATATCTTGTATAGGTTAGAAATAATCGAGTGAGATCACTTATAGTTTTCACCCTGCATAAATTGTACAACCACTAGTCCTTCCGGGAGTTTTACCAGTCCGGCATTATCAGCAGTACCTACTATCAATATCAATAAATCAAAGCAAATCATCAAGTCAAAATCTATAAATTCTAAAGATGTGCAGTAAGCAGCTCGTACAGAATTTTTATTTCTTTTTGTACGAATTTCATGTTATATTTTGAGGTTCTGCATTTGCATATCTGTGATTTCATAAATATTATAGTTAAAGATAGTTAATGATTAATAAAATAACAAAATGTACAATTTCACTTAACAATTTACAAATAAAGTAAGATATTTTTAATACTGTTCTTACTTCTTTCCTAATAAACATATTTTTTTTCAATGCCTTAGCCTTATAAATGTTGCACAATAATCAGTTGGGAAATTAATAAAAAACTGGAAATTACCATAATTGAATAAATTTTATTACAATACAATAATGCATTAGAAAGAGTGCTCAAGCATCTAAAATAACATAAAATATTATTAATAATTTCAATTACATAATGTTTGGGAATCTAAATTATTTATGTCTAGCACCAAATTAAAAGATTACTGAGAAATATTTTTAAAATAGTGTAGGTACAATCAAAAATTGCAGATTATCCAAGGTTTTTTAAGTAGATAAGAATTGATATTTTATACAGAAGTAATATAAAAACCAGCTCGGTGGAGTATTCTTTATAGGTGAAGATTTATATACAGAAATATTTTTACACAATGAAGTTGATTCTCCCTTTCGCAAAATAATAAGCGCATGGTGGTGGAAGTTGAAACTACAATTTGCGCTACAATAATACGAAATTCTGTGCGACAAAAGCCTTACATCAGATTTGTAAAAATCGTATTTATTTAACAAAGGATTCTATAGTTACACATAGGTACGGTACACGTACCTTACACATACTGTTAGTAACATAATAAAAGTATTTGTTTTCTGTTGGTTAAATTATAATTATTATTTAAATTGATGTCCACATTTTTTGTGGGCCATTTCTGGTCCAACCATAGAGGGTTCAACATACTACACCAGTGGTTCTTAACCTTTAAGTCATGAGGGACCATTTTACCATATTTCTCTCCCTCAGGGACCACCTCAATCGCTCAAAACCAGTTTGACTGCAAAAATCAGTTAAAATTGGTTTTGACCAAGGTGTGCAAGTGCACTTCGTGGACCACTTCGAATGCCTCCAGGGACCACCAGTGGTCCGCGGACCACCGGTTAAGAACCACTGTACTACACAAAGCTATATTAAGTATAATTGATTCTCTGCAATCGTCAATATTAATAAAAGTGGCCATTATTTAATTATTTTACACGTAAGGTTCTACACTTACGGTTAATAAGTTTTGTGTCAATCTAGGTAGTTGTACCTAGGTTATTGATAAATTATTCTCTTAATTAATTCTAGAGTGAATGAAACAAGATAGGCAGCTTCTACCTTTCTTTCTACCTACCTACTGCCAAGAAATCCTGCTTATTAATTATTTTATAGATTATGCAGGCTTTTAATAATAAATCAAAGTATAAACCGAATCATGTGGCTATGATGTCCCAATAGTCGAGTTTGAGCTTCATTGTGCTTCAATTGTTTCAAGCGAGATCGTTGTACAAACTTAATTAACAACATAACATTTTTAATTCATTAAACTACCTAAAATTAAATGCATTGAGTATTTGTTTACACCTATCTAACGCATAATTAAAATATGTAGGGTAAACCAGAGAGTGATTGCCCACTGGTAGTGATTGCCCACTTTAAGAATAATATTGTCAGGTGCTGACTTTGAATCACTCTAGTTAGATTTGAATTTACTAAGTAGATGGCTCCGAGATCAATGTACAGTAGATTTAAAATTTACAATAGGAAACACTAAAAAAAAACAGTTATGGCGGATTTTGTCAAGACGGGTGAAAATGTTACTCAAACAGGTAAAGACTTTAACAATTTTACTAAGGAATTACTTGCTTAGAGGTTAAATTTTTTTTGCAAGTTATTTAATATTCAACTAATGGTGTATAGTCATGATGAAATTATAAGTTTTTCTCCATTATCAATGAAAATAACTGATAAAATTTGATTTCTAACGGTCATTTTAACGGTGGGTAATCACTGCACGTAAATCTGTATATTTTTAGTTATTGCCCACCATCATTCAGTTATTGCCATATGTTAATGTATAGTTATTGCCCAGGGCAATTATTATTAGAGTGTTGCCACCATGCAGTAGCAGTGTTTAAGTTGCTCATTGCTAGACTTGTTTTGCAATTTACAGGCAAAAAAATTGAAATGGCTTTTAATGTTTCATTTTCAGTATGCCAAAGACTCCAAAAGTTCAATATAGCATAGAAAATTTGCAAAAAGCGATCGAAGCTGTACAAGATGTATCCAACAATTTATCTACAAGATAAATTGCTGAAAAATATGGTTTGGCTTGAAAAAATTGATAAAAATTCAAACGCAAATACAAAAAAGGAAAATCCTACGTTAAATCTACTAGTAAAAATGTTAATTGTAAGGAAATAGATACAACTTTAGGGAAGAATAACCAACAGCTAATTGAACATTCTGAGCAACCACTTGAACTGATATCAAAGAAGATAAAAAAATAAATACATATAAAATTTACATATAAAATTCAAATTTTTGCGTCATCTATGTTTTGAAGTAGATGATTCTGTCTCTACCAATTCTGACTCATCAACATCAGCTCAAGAAATATTTGATAATATGTTAATAAGGCCAAACGCAATTTATTTTGAAATTTTGAAGACTGTACTACTAGAATTTAAGTTTAATGTTTTGTTTTGTTTATTTAAAGCCTATTTTGTCATTTTAAAATTGATTATTTTGTTTTAAGATACTGGGCAATTACTGTGCTTTGATGTGGGCAATTAGTGTAAGTAATGGGCAATGACTGTACTTTTTGGAGGATTTTAAATTTATTTCAATATTTTCTAAGTTACGTAAGTTTTAACTAAAAACTGTTAATATTCTGTTTAACAGTTTATTGAGTTATAAGAAAAAAGTCATAAATGGTCGATAATTAACATACTTTCTTTAATTTTTCATCTCAATGTGTTTGAAATCTTTAAGTGGGCAATAGCTATACGGTTTACCCTACTTTAATTGTATACGTGATTTAATTGTATCATCATAACTCCTACCTCATCATGTACTAATTATTATTAAAATCGTTTCTATTCTATTACATAGGTACTTAGATAATAAGTTGCTCCTTCAAATATTTGCTTTTAAGGAGGACATAATTACCTAGTAACATCGTTGTGTACTTTTTATAGAATCATGCTTTATTTATTACGTATACACTTTTTTGTGCATAATTATGCTGTTTTTTTACTTATGCAGGGTGAAAGAAGTAGGCTAGCTTCAACGGTCAAAACGGGCCATGCTTAGCTGAAAATCAGTGGAATTTTCCTCCGGAAAATTGACGATTTTCCTGCACAAAATATTTTAAGTTCGTAAGTTCTGGTGCCTCATTTAATGTCTCATAATTAAAATAGTACCCCATTTTGGAAAAGATGGACTTTTTAAAGTTCCTTCTACTAGAACATGTGGATCAGTGTTTTCTGTACACTGAAGAGACAAATGAATTAATTAAATGTATTTTTATTTCGTTTCGGATTCGGATCGTGGATGATTTCATTCATTTTCATTCAAAATAACCAGCCTGCTCCTTACACCCTGTGTAGTTCAGAATACCAAATGTCACTCACTGCAACTACTTAGGTACATTATACGCTTTGCGAATCGTTTACCATGTGGAAGCACTACTTATTTAAAAGGTAGGTACCTCACTAATAATATTAATATTAATTAATATTCAAATAACTACAGAATTCAAAATATACCTAAGTTACCCTTTTGTTAGTTAAGAAATATTGCTACCTACTTCAATGTCGATTTGCAAAATGAACTGCTTAGGTATATAATTTACACGAGCCGAATTTCATTGGTTTCTTATGTTTAGCAACGCGAAGTAGAAAATTTCCAAAATAAA